CCAATCAGATCCCGGGGTCAGCAAGCCCCGCCCCTCCCGGGGTCCTAGCCCATTACCTAATTTAGCCAAGGGCCCTTGCAGAGAAATTCAAGCCTCTGAGCAGGTGGCTGGCCTTGACGTCCTAGATTCTTATGAGCAGGGCCTGCCCTGCTCTACCTCCTTGGAGAATCTCCCCCACCCCGCCTCGGAAAGCACACTTGCTCCAAAGATGGGTCAGAACAGTGACAAGTGAGGTAGTATGATAGAAGTACACAGGGCTCAGAGTTCAAAATTCAAAGATGGAGTCCTGCCTCTGTGAGCTGTGTGACTGTGGACAGGTGAATCAGCTCTGAGCCTCCATTTTTCATCTGTGAAGTGAAAATAGTCATAACCTCCCCTACAGAGAGACCACAGCAAATGGGAACCCAGGTGTAAGTCACCTAGCCTGTGCCAGGTGGATTAGCTGGTACATAGTAAGTGGAGTGTCTTGTCTTTGAACACAGTAAGGGATAGGAGACAGAGGTGGCGGCGAACTTTTATAATATGCATGCTACGCAGTATGCTAATCACATGACCTCATGTAGGACACAACCGATGAATGGCAACTGCATAGCTTGGTAAATCATAAAATCTATAGGAATGCTGGTGGTTCTAGCCAGTTTTCTTTCTTTCTTTTTTTTTTGTCAGTCATGGGGCTTGAACTGCGGGCCTGGGCACTGTCCCTCAGCTCTTCAGCTCAAGGCGAGCTCTCTACCACTTGAGCTACAGCGCCACTTCCTAGTCAGTTAGTTTTCAATCTTGTTACATCACCCACGTTGGCCTTGAACTTCCTTTTTTCGGTGCAGGTACTGGAGCTTGAACTTAAGGCCTCGGTTCTCATGGCTTTTTCACCTCAAGGCTGTCACCCGACTATTTGAGTCACACTTCCACTTCTGAGTTTTTGCTTGTTACTTGGAGATAAGAGTCTCTCAAAGCCAGGTGCCAGTGGCTCACACATGTAATCCTACCTACTCAGTAGGCTGAGATCTGAGGATTGTGGTTCAAAACCAGCCCAGGCAAGAAAGTCCATGATACTCTCATCTCAACCACCAGGAAACTAGAAGTGGTGCTGTGGCTCAAATGGTAGAGTGCTCACCATTAGCTAAAGAGCTCAGGGACAGCACCCAGACCCAAAGTTCAAGCCCATGACTGACCAAATTGGTCTGGGCTGGCTTTCTTGATCCTCTGATCTCAGCCTCCTGAGTTGCTAGGATTACAAGCATGAGTCACCAGCATCCTGCTGGCCTTGAACTTCTTGGTCCATCAATCTTCCTGCCTCAATCTCCTAAGTATCTGGGACTACAGATGAACAATCATTGGTTGATTCTTATTAATCTCCACTGAGAAAAAGTCAAGATAGACAGTCCTCACAGGAGCTATCAGAAGATGTGTTCAGAAAGATGAAGAGTGGGATGACCAGGTGCCAGTGGCTCATACTGTAATCCTAATTACTTGGAAGGCTGAGAGCAGGATTGTAGTTCGAGTACATTCCAGGCAAAAAAGTTCATGATGCTGCATGATGAAAAGAATCAGCAAAATAGGGGCTGGAAGTGTGGTTCAAATGGTAGAGTGCAAGAAGCACAGAGGCCACAGAGTCGTGGGGGTGCATTTGGAGGAGAAATAAGTATTTCAACAAAGACTCTTCTCTCAAGTTACCTGGCCCCAGAGAAAGGGATCCAGTTGGAGTGGGGGTGCCGGGGAAGGTTCTTTAAGTAGAAATCCAGCAGCTCTGAGCTGGTCCTCTGGAGAGCAAAGGCAAGGTACAGATCTAGTCCAGACAGTAGCACAGCCTGAGAATCCATCATGTCTAGGCTGGGCAGCAGGAAGTAGACAAGGCTATGGACAGTGGCTAAGTCAACAGAAAGAGTACTGAGATAAGGGGTGGCAGGGTCTGAGGCCAGGGAAGGCCGGGGGGGGGGTGCTGAACATGAAGGAGGGTAGATGGACAGTGACAACTGGGCTGCTCTCTTCCCTATATATAGACATTCCCAAGGAAAGCTCAATGGAGCCAGGCCAGGCTAAATAAGGCCTCCCGTAGCCAGGCATAGGACCAAAGAGTGATACTCAGGAAAGTCCACTTTGGACAGCAAACACTGGAGCCATTTGGTCCCTCTGGAACAGAAGGTATGGACCCCTCGACAATCACCATTCATTTAGTTGTTCTTACGATTATTCAGAGAATAAATAAGAGTATCTCCTTAGTGTACCCACGCCCTTCCAATCTCGCTCCTTTTCTCTCCCGACCTCATGCTCTATTCTCCTCCGGTCTGGCTTCACTCCTTAAATTCTGCCACCTACTGGGGATGCTACCCTTTATGAACCCCCGGGCCTTTGTACATTCTGATTTCTTTTTTCTGCCAGTTACTAGCATCTTCCCTCTCTCACCAGCTTTCTACCCTGTCACCTTACTCAATTTCAGATCACTTCCTCCAGGACCCCTCCTCCCCTCTACCCAGGCTTTGGGTCCAAGGCAGTCTCTAACAGTGATAGTTCCTCATTTTTTTAAATCATGGAGCGTGCCTTAAAACTTGTTCTTTGTCCCCCTCCCCCACAACCAGAGTCAGTTTCTTGTTCAACATCAAACTTCCCTGAAATCAGCATGTGGCATTTAACTAGTGTGTAGTAAAGATTGCATTTGGTTCTGATAGAAGGAGAAACTTCCTAACAGTCGCTGAAAATAATAGAACTGGACAGCTCCAAAGGTACAGTAATGAAGTTCCTGTCACTGATCCTGTACAAACATCTGAACCACCACCATCTCTTGATGAGGCTGTAGGAAAGGCCCATTTGGAGATGTGGAAAGCTCATGCCTGTAATCCTAGCTACTCAGGAGGCTGAGATAGGAGGACCAAAGCCAGCCAAGGCAAGAAAGTCCAGGAGATGCTTAAATGCCTGAAGTGGAGCTATGGCTCAAATGGTAGAGCAATAGCTGTGAGCATAAAAGCTCAGGGATAGCACTGAGGCCCTGAGTTCAGGCTCTAGGACCAGCACAAACAAAGGCAAAATTTAAAACCCTTCTCCCCGCTAAGCCTTAGTTTATCTCATATGGAGATGATACACAGATTTTTGTCTTGGGGTACTATTTCAATGTGTAGTCCCAGCTGGCCTGGAACTTGCTATCCTCCTGCCTCTCAGTGCAGGCCAGGGCCACCACACCCAGCATGATACACCAGATTTCTGAAGGACTTCGTGCTCGATGCCTATGGTTTTATGAACATGGGCTTTTCATCCAGACTTGTGAGACAGATACCAAAGGATGTTAATATTCAAATGATTGGTGAATGAAGTGCCTCTTTTTGCCCTGAAAAATCTATCGGTAAGCCAAATGCAGAACAATTAGAGCTCTGAAAATACACACTTGAGCTTAAATCCAAGCTCCTTTTTTTCCCCTGATGTGGATCTTGGGAAAAAGTCAATTTGCCTCAGTTTCTTCATCTTGAAAATAGACCATTATTATCCAGCAACTGGCTGGTGAGAGTGAGGTGTGTTGTAGGTAAGATGCCTAGAATAGAATGTTGACCACACTGACTGACATCTAAAAAATGCCCATATGGAACCCAGGGAGTTCTCTTCATTTTCCCTATGCTCTCTCTCCTGTGCCATTCAAAGGGGACAGAAACTATTATTGGAGAGATTTTTTTTGTTGTGTATCAATAGCAGATTCTGTTCTGCTAGGACTGATTTCTAGACCTTCAGACAGGAAATGGCAATTTTTTTAGGGGTGGTGTCCTGGGGCTTGAACTCAGTGCCAGGGTGTTGTCTCTGAGCTCTTGTGCTCAAGGCTATTATTGATTTACCACAGCTCCACTTCCAGCTTGTTGGGTAATTAATTGTAGATAAGAGCCTCTTGGAATTTCCTGCCCAGACTGGCTTTGAACCCAGATCCTCATTTCTGAGCCTTCTCAGTAGCTAGGATTACAGGCATGAGTCACCAATGCCTGGTTTGGTCCACTAGATAAACCTTCAGAGGAAATAACAGATTATAACCGCCAGATGTGTGGGGAAAGAACAGTGTATAGAGTTTAGGAGACTTGGGCTTTAAGATTCCATTCTCAGAAATGTCTGGCAAGCTGTGTGACCTTGGAGAAGTAATTGAGCCTATTTGGGTCTGCTTCCCCTGCTTCCTGCTTCCTGCATATTAGACTAAAAGTGATTTATGGAAGGAAGACTGTCAACACCACACTGCAAAAGCAATTATCATTCTGTAACTGACAGTTTATTTCCTCGGCCCCTGCTCTGTCAGGCACTGGACTAGGTTCTTAGGAAAGCTGAAGAATTGTTGTTTTTCCTGTTTTACTTGAGAAATCGTAGGCTCAGCCAGGCCAGATTCCAGGTCAGATTCCATCCGCCTTCTCTGGGCTCTTAAGTTTCATGAAAGAACGGGGCCTCGGATGTCACACAATTACACTGTGGAGTTACCGCGCCAGATGGAAACTGTGGGGGACAGACCGAGGCTGTCCTGTGGCTCTGGGCAGGGAGCAAGGATCCCCGGCGGATGCACGCCCAGTCCGATCGGAGGTCCGTCAGCAGGAGGCCGACACCCGCAGGCGAACTCACGGTTCCCAGTTCCCTACGAGAGCGAGGATCCCGGGATTCTGGGCGGCTCCGGGTGGGGGCGTGGTCTGTGTCGGGGGCGTGGCCTGGGCGGGGCGGCGGCAGGAAGCGGCCTGAGCGGCGCTCCTGGCGTCCTGGGTCGCCGGCCTCAGTAGTGAGCCGCGGGGATCCACGGGGGACCCCCCCCCCGGGGCCGAGGCACCGCTGCGTGCACCCAGGGACACTGGAGGTAGAGGCGTTTGTGGGCGCGGGGGAGCCCAGGGTGGGGTCCCGGCCCCTCCTGGGTAGGACGCGGTCGGAGGCGGAGTGACCGCGGGGAGCCGCCATCCGCCAGGTCACCCCGGGACTCGCTCGCACACCCTGGGGGCGTGGTCCCACCGGGCTCCTCCCACCCGTGCCCGGCCACGCCCCCGAACCTCCGCGGGCCGAGGGCTGCGCGCTCCCTGCTGGGTGCCATGGCCTCGCGGCTCCTGCACCGGCTGCGGCACGCCCTGGCCAGCGACGGCCCCGGGGAGGCGGCGGCGGCGGCGGGCCCCGAGGCCGAGCCGTTCCCCGAGAGCTCCGAGCTGGAGGACGACGACGCCGAGGGCCTGTCCTCCCGCCTCAGCGGCACCCTCAGCTTCACCAGCGCCGAGGACGACGACGACTGCGACGACGACGACGACGACAACGACGGCGAAGCCAGCCCCGACTCGCTGAGCCCCGGGGACGCGGCGTCGGGAGAGGACGCAGGCGAGTGCGGGAGGTGGAGACGCGAATCCCGGGGCTCGACTGGGCCTCCGCCCCGGCTGCGCTCTGGGAGCATCCCGGGCGCCTGGAGTAGATCCAGCTGAGTCTCGGGCACGACTGGAAGTGCTTGTCCTCAGCCACTCTTGGCCTGTGACCTTGAGGTGGTCTCTACACCCCTCGGAGCCAAGTTTTCCCCTTACGTGAAAGGCGACAAATGACCTGATCTTACAGAGTTTCTGTGGGGAGCAAGTGTCCAGAGTAGACTAGAGATGTTTGCAGGGTGGAGAGTCTGCTCTCTGCCAGGCATGGTGACCCTCAGTTCCCTGTCTTGTAAAACGAGGACAACGCCTACCTCACTTGGGTGAATGAGCTCATGGCATCGACCCTGTCCCCCCCCCCCACAGCGCCCAGTCCCTTTGGTCTGACTTGGTCATGTGCTTGTGCAGAACGGAGCCCCCCACCTGATGGGCAGCGGGGCGGTCAGCTCCTGGCCCGGCAGCTGCAAGACTTCTGGAAGAAGTCCCGCAATACCCTGGTACCCCAGAGGCTGCTCTTCGAGGTGACCAACGCTAATGTGGTCAAGGACCCTCCCTCCAAGTACGTGGTGAGTGAGGTTCTAGGACCCCCTGGGCTGTCAGTCAGGTCTGGCTAAGAGGAGGACACCAGCTTCATGGGGGTTCTGGCTGTGTTGTTATAAAAGGTTGCCTTGTTTAGCAGATGGGAAAACTGAGGCTTGAAAGGGAATGTAACTTGAGCAAGTCCTCAGCAAAGTGACTTAGTGTTCCTGAGACTTAGTAAAGTGGAGATTAAGGCACTGCCAGTATGTGTGCAATCCCCTCCCCCAGTGGCTTTGCAGACTAGCATGAGAGAGACTTGAAACCCAGTTGCCTGGGTTAGTGGATAAGGAAACACACTTTGGATCCACCTTTGGATCACATTCTTCTTTCACTTTCGCCTGTCTTTGGGTGGGTTTTGTAACTTTGATCCACTCCCCCTCCCCCACCCTCTACTTTCCTCATAGGAGCTATGGGGTCGTTCAGAGAGGATCATAGCAGGACTTAAATGGGACTTAATTGGCTCTGTGTTAGAATGCTTGCCTCCCATGCATGAGGCCCTGGGTTCCAATCCTCAGCACCACATAACCAGAAAAAGCTGGAGGTGGCGCTGTGGCTCAAGTAGTAGAGTGCTAGGCCCAGAGTTCAGGCCCCACGACTGGCAAAAAAAGAAAAAAAGAAAAATGAGACCCTTAGCATTGGGTTCAATACAATGGTAGCTATACAGATTCAGCATCCCTAATCTGAAGCGCTCCAAAATTCAAACTTTTTTGAGTGTTCACATGATGCCACAAGTGGAAAATTACATACCTAATCTCATGTGATGGGCAGCACTGTGTTGGCACACTGGAAACATTTATAAAGCTTGATGTTCTTCAGTGGTAGAGTGCTTGCCTAGCATTCTCAAAGCCCAAGTTATGCAGTTGTTTGCATGCACACACCACACGCACACACACACAGAAACTGTCTTAAGCTTATTTGTATAAGATACTATAAAATATAAATTTACACTTGACTCCCATCCCTAAAATATCTCTCTCTTCTTTCCCTCCTCTCTTTCCATATTTGCAAAGATTCCAGAATCTGAAAGACTATGATATCAAGCATTTTGGATAAGAGATACTGACTTTGTATTAATATTAATATTTAACAAAATATTAAGTTTGGAAGTACTGAGGTTTGAACTCAGGGCCTCAAGCTTGCTTAGCAGGCCTCTACCACTTCCAGCCCTATTAACTTTAGGTTGGAAATGTCAGGGGTAGGTGGGATCTAGGGCTGCTGCAGCTTCTGGAGCCCTGTCCCAAATTTGGGCCTCTCCACCCCTTTCTGGTGGTGTTACTAACAAGGGCCACACCCATGGGGTGACTGCTCCCATCTGAGCAGGATCCAGCTTCTGTGTGTGCGCACACACACACGTGCACATATGTGCTCTAGAACAAACCCAGGTCCTCATTCATGCTAAATGTACCCTCTACCACTGAGCTACACTCCAGCCTCTAATGATCCAGTCTTAAGTGACAAAAGTCCCAGATCTGGGGGGAGAAGGAAAGGGACACTAAAGATCAGTCACCAAAGAATGTTTCAATGGAAAGGAATGGAGGTGGCTGTGGGTACCCAGATGGGAAGGGAATGACAAGGAACAGGATGACCAAATAGGCCCTGGCCCACGTCTGGAGAAGCCACCTTCTCCATACAATGGGCACCCTGCAACTCCATGTACTTTCTTAGAAGGGGCCATGTGGTTTATTATTATTATTATTTTATATTTTTGTGAATTCAGGGCCTCATGCTCTCACATGGCTTTTTTACCCAAGGCTATACCATTTGACCACACATCCACTTCCGAGCACAGATTTTATTTTTGTTTTTTCTTTTGCCTGTTCTGGGGCTTGAACTCAGGGCCTGGGCACTGTCCCTGAGTTTCTTTTTGCTCAATGCTAGCACTCTTACCACTTGAGCCACAGTGCCACTTCTGGCTTTTTCTGTGTATGTGGTGCTGAGGAATTGAACCCAGGGCTTCATGCATGCTAGGCAGGCACTCTACCACTAAGCCACCTTCCCAGCCCCTGAGCACAGATTTTATATTCAGGTCTTAGGCAAGTCTTTATACCACTTCCCTCTCTTTGGTCCTACTTCCTTAGCTAATACACTGAGCTAAGGACAATTTTCTTGTAGTCTTATTGTGATGAGTAACTAATAGAAGAAAAGTGCTTGGCACTTCATGAAGCACAGAGTACATGCTCAAGTAATGGAACTATAGTCATAATTGTCTACGATGATCAAGTGAAATAATGGATATAAAATGGTCTTTTTAAGACAGGCATGGCAGTACATGCTAGTAATCCCAATACCTGTGAAGATAAACTAGGATTGTTGAATTCAAGGCCAGCCTGGGCTAAAGAGTAGACCCTAGCCAGGTGCCGGTGGCTATACCTGTAATCCTAGCTACTCAGGAGGCTGAGATCTAAGGATCATGGCTCAAAGCCAGCCTGGGCAGGAAAGTCCGTGAAACTCTTATCTCTAATAAACCACTAGAAAACTGGAAGTGGCACTGTGACTCAAGTGGTAGAGTGCTTGCCTTGAGCTGAAGAGCTGAAGGGACAGTGTCCAAGCCCAGAGTTCAAGCCCCACAACGGACAAAAAAGAAAAGAAAAAAAAAAAAGAGTAGAGACCCTGACCAAAAAAAAAAAAGAAAAAAGTAAAAAATGAAAAACCTAGAAACTTAGGTGGTTATTATCGACCAGTATCTTGCAAGGTATGTCCTGCAGAAAATTGCTTCCCTAAAACAAAATGCTGAAATAAGGATACAGGATGACCCATTGTAAACAATGAGATGTAGGAGATACTATGTTGAAAATGAACTTTACAACTTTGCGGTGGGAGGCAAGGGAGGAAGTGGGAGGGAAGGGACAGGAGGAGAAAAACGGAGGGGGTAAAAATGCTTGATAGGAAATGGACTTATTACCTTGTTCATGTAACTGTAACCCCTCTGTACAGTATCTTTACAATAAAAATGTATATTAAAAAAAGAAAATTGCTTCCCTGGATATTAATAAATATCCAAAAGAGAGAGAAAAGGTTTACGGTCAATATAACTGGAAAACAGAGTTGAGTGAGTATAAGTTTCCTTAAAATGTACACTGTAGAATGGGAACCCTTTTGTACAATTATTTAAATTTAAAAACATTAAAAATAATAGGTAAATAAAATTGAACAAAATGTATACTGTGAAAACAGGTATGGTGGCACATGCCTGTAATTCTAGCCCTGGAGAGGCTAAGCAGGAGACTGTAAGTTCAAACCCAGCCTCAGCTATATAGTGGGACCCTGTCTTAAAATAAAAACACCAGCTGGGAAGGTGGCTTAGTGGTAGAGTGCTCGCCTCACAGGCATGAAGCCCTAGCTCTGCTTCCTCAGTAACACCTACACAAAAAAGCCAGAAGTGGAATTGTGGCTCAAGTGGTAGAGTGCTAATCTTGAGCAAAAGAAGCTCAGGGTCAGTGCCCAGGACCTGAGTTCAAGCCCCAGGACTGGCAAAAAAAAAAAAAAAAAAAACTATACAAAATGTATAGTGACTCTTCAAAAGAAGAAATAGATCCTCCTAGAGGACCGGAAGTGGCTAGGAGATTGGCAGTTTGGCAGGGCCACAGAACAAATTCTGGAGGAAAAAAAAAAAAAGATCAGGGTTTGGTGGTAGGATCCCTTTAACATGTAATTCCTGCCTGCTTCCCTTTTAAACCTGCTGGCCCAGCCCTAATCCTCATTAGTCCTGATTAATCCCCAGTGAGGTTCTCAAACTTGTGGGAGCTTAGAGTCATCTGGTTCAGTGTTTCCCAAACCACAGTCATTCCAGGAGCACCTTCACAATTCCTTTCCCATCTGAAAATGCTTACAGTGCTGGTTGTGGTGGTACAGTTTGGTGAGTCCAGCACTTAGCAGGCTGAGACAGGTTGCAAATTTAAGGCCAGTCCAGGCTATACATCAAGACTATCTAAAATAAACAAAATGTTAGCAATGCCATTCTTCAGCATTTTAAATGAACACTCTAAGATTAAAAGCCAACTTTGTGGTGTTGCTGTAATGTGGTAAACCACACCAAAGTGTGAGGTGGGGAGGTAGGAGAGAGTGACAGAGGGAAGAATCTGGTCAAGATACATTCTGTACATACATGGATATGTTAAGATGAAGCCTCCTTGTACAAATTAATGCCAATTTTTAAAAAAGTAAAGAATGAGGGCTGGGAAGGTGGCTCAGTGGTAGAGCGCTTGCCTTGCATGCATGAGGCCCTGCCACATAAGCAGAAAAAAGCCAGAAGTGGTGCTATGGCTCAAGTGGTAGTGCGCAAGCCTTGAGCTGAAGAGCTGAGGGTCAGCACCCAGGCAGAGTTCAGGCCCCACAACACACACACACACACACACACAAAGAATGAGGCTTATGATGTAGCTCAGTGGCAGAATGTGCCTAGTACACATAAGGCCTTTGGTTCACACATGTGTGCATGTGCCCACGTGCACACACACAGTAGTGAAAATGAAATGTTAAATTCTTCCTAGAGGGGCTGAGAATGTGGCTTAGTGGTACCACTAAGTACCATATAAACAGTACCACATAAACAGAAAAGCTGGAAGTAGCGCTGTGGCTCAAGTGGTAGAGTGCTAGTCTTGATCAAGCAAAAGAAGTTCAGGGATAGTGCTCAGGCCCTAAGTTTAAGTCAAAGGACTAGAAAAAAAGAGACAGGCACAGTGTACATGCCAGTTTTCTCAGCTATTAGAGAAGCTGAGATAAGAGGAATTTGCTTGAGCCTAAGAGTTTGAGACTAGCCTAGGTAACATAAGGAGACCCTATCTCAATAAAAATAAATAGGACAATCACTTCCTGGAGTGTACTCCAGTGTGTACCACCTAAAATACTTCAGGTATCACTTGTACTTGTCCCATACATACTTCAGTACAGTGACCTGATCCATTATTTCATTCATTAAAGACAGATTGGGAGGCAGAGTGAAGTCACAGTTACTGCAGTTGCAGGTGTTTGAAGACTGGTCTGGTCTGGATAATCTCACCAGCCATGTCAGAGTGATGAGTCGAGTGGAGCATAGCTCCATGCTGGTCCTCAAATTGGCTCAGAGATCCAGGCTGTCAGTCAGGGCTTCGGCTTACCTCTGATTTTCCTGCATTGTCAGAATTAACTCCCTTATGGGAAGGTAGAACTTCCCAGAAGGGCCACGAGGGGCAGCAGCCCCCAGCACTGAAGTTCACCTCTGTCTTTCTTTTCCCCCTGCTGCCTTGGGCCTGGGTCAATTCAGACAAGCCTCAGGTAAGAAGGGAGTGAGCCCCCAGATCACTGTCCCAACAATTCCCACCCTTCCAGGCCAAGTGGGGAGGGGGAGTGGGGGAGCAGGGTTGGGAAGGGGAGGCAGGGAGGAGAGAGGCCTATGGACAATTTGTCACTGACACTTATCTTTCCTTGCAGCTCTACACCCTCGCCGTGATGGGCCCAGGGCAGTCAGATGGCCAGCCAGCCCAGATATCTCGCCGCTACTCAGACTTTGAGCGACTGAATCGAAACCTACAGCGCCAGTTTCGGGGCCCCATGGCTGCCATCTCCTTTCCCCGAAAGCGCCTGCGCCGGAATTTTACGGCAGAGACCATTGCCCGCCGTAGCAGGGCCTTTGAGCAGTTTTTAGGCCACCTGCAGGCAGTGCCTGAGTTACGCCATGCCCCAGACCTGCAAGACTTCTTTGTGCTGCCTGAGCTGCGGCGGGCACAGAGCCTCACCTGTACTGGCCTCTATCGGGAGGCTCTGGCTCTCTGGGCCAATGCCTGGCAGCTGCAGGCCCAACTGGATACCCCCTTTGGTCCAGACCGCCCCCTGTTGACCCTGGCTGGGCTGGCTGTGTGCCACCAGGAGCTGGAGAACCCTGCAGAGGCTCGGACATTCTGTGAGAAGGCCTTGCAGCTGCTGGGGGACAAGACACCCCATCCTTTCCTAGCACCGTTTCTAGAGGCCCATATCCGGCTCTCTTGGCGCCTGGGCCTGGACAAACGCCAGTCAGAGGCCCAGCTTCAAGCCCTGCAGGAGGCAGGCCTCACCCCTACACCACCCCCCAGCCTCAAGGAATTGCTCATCAAGGAGGTGCTGGACTAATCCTTGTTAGTTTCACTGCAGGGTGAGAGGCTGCTCCAGAATCAAGAGAATCAAGGGAGGGGATATTGGTGAAGACACAGGGAGCAGCTAAGGAGGGTGCACAAAGTGCTCGGGAGCTCCTCAAGCTTTTACAAAGAGAATTTGCAGCAAACAAGTAAATTTTCTTCTTTTGAGCTGTGCTCAGAATGAGCTTTAGGAAGAGCTGCCCTGATGGTGTGAGGAAGAAGTCTGACAAAAGCTTCTTCAGCCCAGGGCTCCAGCCCTGGTCAAGTCGGACCAGTGTTTCCTCATCCATGGGCCTCCAGCATTCTTGAGTTAAGACAGAGCTGCAGTTGTGGCCCAGAGAATTAAAGGCTAGTCACTCCAGTGGTATCAGTCTCTTTATTGGATGTGAGGGCAGAAGGTCCAACCCTCAAGAAGAAGGAACGTCTTTGAAGCCCCAGGTCAAGCTGGTGCCCCATTATAGTTTGCTCTCTGAGACCCAGGGCTTCACTCTGATCACACCCTCCTGGGCACAGGACACAGCCAGAACTCCATCCCGACGCCACAACCGCCCGTGGACCAGCCCCCGAGAGCCATCTGTGGGCAAGGAAAAGGGTGACAATGGTACTTTGCTTCAGCACAGCCAAATAGGCTTTCTGCAAATGTTTTGGCCCAGGGCAAGGATGTACCAAGTGTCCCTTTATGAACCTCTATAGCCAGTCACCGGGGCACTCCTCTGATGAGAACCCCAGTGACAGTTTAAAAGCACTTTCAATCTGTCTGTTGACTTTCTCAAAAGGATTGCAGAGGGAGGAGCTCTAAGAACAGTCTCCCTATTTGGCCAAGCAGAGTGCTGCACTTCTGAGCACTTGTTAGAAAACCCATCTGTTTCTTTTACATTAAACCAGGCCAAGTCCTTCAGGCTGGTTATCCATGAATGCTGCCATCCCTGTTCCACCAGAAGAAAGGAGGGGCTCAGAGGAGGACCTGACCATGAGGTCTGGCCTCCCCTCCCTCTCCATGTGCAGGCCTTTTCTTCTTTGCTGGCTTTGGGCCTGAGTCAAGTTCATGAAAAGAACTGCTGGTTTTCCTTCACTAAGTGAGCAGAACTTAATTCAGACAGAAGCCAAATGATGCTGTCCTATTTCCCCAACAATGACACCAAAGTCCAGAAGCTCAGCAGCTTGGCCCCAAGGACTGGGCCCAACCTGCTTCCAGGTACCAGGTATCCTAACTTCAAGGCTGTTAATTTTGTACTATGTTGCTATTGCTGTTTCAGGGTACTCTTGCCCTGATTATGAAGAGTTCTTTAAGTTTTGTCTCTATTTTAGAAAGTCAGGGTTCTGAAGCTAGATATTAATTAATAAATGAACTATCTTCTAAAATTCAATAACATCCAAAACCAGGTGCTGGTAGTTCACACCTGTAATCCTAGTTACTCAAGAGGCTGAGATCTGAACATCTCAGTTCAGAGCCAACCCAGGCAGACAGATCCAGTCACACACACACACAAAAGCAAGCAAGAAGCAAAGTGCTTCACACCTATAATCCTAGCTACTCAATAGACTGATACTTAAGGAAAGTCCATGAGACTCTTATCTCCAATATACTACTCAGAAAAGGTCAGAAGTGGTGCTGTAGCTCAAGTAGTGAGAGCACTAGCCTTGAGCATAAAGAGGCTTAGGGACAGCACCCAGGCCCTGAGTTCAAGCCCCAGGACTAGCAAAACAAAACAAAGAAAACACCAAAAGTGCAAGGCCCAGAGCTCAAGCTCTGGAACCAATACACACAGAATCATTTAGGGAATTTCTTGGACCTTACCCAAGACTTGCTGAGTCAGAATTGGGTATGGAAAGTGGGCACTGGTAGCTGAAACCTGTAACCCTCCCTAGCTACTCAGGAAGCTGAGAGCTGATGATCACAGTTAGACACCAATCAGGCAGGAAAGTCTATGAAACTCTTATCTCCAGTTAAACAGCAAAAAGCCTAAAGTAGAGCTGTGGCTTAAGTGGTAGAACACTAGACTCTGTGAAAACTCTTAAGGGGCAGTAAACAGGCCCTGAGTTCAAACCCCAGAACTGGGACAAAAAAAAAAACAAAACTTAGGGATGAAACTGAATCTCTTAAGCCACTGGCGCCTGGCTTAATCTGTTTTTTAAAAGCTCCTTCAAGCCGGGCACTGGTGGCTCACGCCTGTAATACTAGCTACGCAAGAGGATGAGATCTGAGGATCATGGTTTGATGCCAGCCTGGGCAGGAAAGTCCCTGAGACTTATCTCCAATTAACCACCAGAAAACCGGAAGTGGCTCTGTGGCTCAAGAGGTAGAGCACTTTCCTTGACCTGAAGAGCTGAGGGACAGTGCCCAGGCTCAGAGTTCAAGCCCCAGGACCAGAAAACAAAAAAGCTCCTTCAAGTCACAGTCTGATAGATTACTAGTCTTAGATTCTACAACTTGTTTGGTTAGGGAAACAGGCTCAGGGGAGAAAGGATTTGCCTGAGTTCATATAGAAAATTTGAAGGTGTTTGGGACTAGAATGTGATCTCTGATAACAAAGTGAATAAATTTCCATCATTTATAAAAAGCAGGAAGTGTGAGCCTCACACATCTGTCCTTGAGCCTTGCACCTCACTGGGGCAGAGAAGTGACTTGAACAACACCCCTAGGAAGTGGAGGATGCAGCATCATCTAAGAAAGCAGGCTCCCTCCTCCCCCTCCAAAGCCAGTATCCCACATGGGCCCATACTCACCAGCCCAGGGGCTCTCACATTCATAGAGCATCCAGTGGTCAGCTCGGAACGGGGCATGGAACCACATGGAGTGATCCAGCGAGACCATGAAGTTCACTTTATACTTCCACTGGTGGGGCAGCAGTGCCGTGCCCAAGAAGGCATAATCCGAGATATAAGCAGCCACACAGCAGTGCATCTTGATGTCGCCTTCCCCTGTAACAGGTCCCTACCCCATCAGTCAGGGGCTTCATTCACAGGAGGGGGAAGAGACTTGGGGAGATAGAGACGCAAGTATGCAGATATACAAGTTGGTCACTTCGTCAGGGCTTTGGCCCAATGTGTACCCACGTGTGTAAAATGGAGGAGGGTGGACCATGCCTGTAACCCAGCAACTGAGGAGGCTGAAACCTGAGGATCGTAATTTAAAGCCAGTGCATGTAGGAAACTCCATGAAACTCTTTTATCTCCAATTAACCACCAAAAAAGCTTTAAGTGGCACTGTGGCTCAAAGTGGTAGAGCACTAGCCTTGAGCAAAAGAGCTTAGGGACAGTGCCCAGGCCCTGAGTTCAAGCCCAATGGCCAAAACAAACAAACAAAAAAATCTTCCCAAGCCCCTAGCTGGGTCCTGGAAGGCATATCTCCAGTTTGCCCAAAGGCACCCCATGGTTAACAGCAGACCTGAATAAGAACCTCAGGGAGGTTGCCTTTTAGAAAGATCCTTCACAGAAATCAGAGTTACATCCCTTCTCCCCATATAAAAAGGGCCATGAGCCTTAGTGAGATTGAGCTAATTTACCCCAGGTGCAGATGAGGAAACAGGCTCAGAGAGGGCAACTAACACACCCAAGACAAGGGGCAAACAAGTGGCCGGCCCAGACCTCCAGAAAAAAAGAGTCCTCTTACCAATATAGCCCCGGGCTCGCACCCAGAACATCTGTTTGGGCTCAATTCTCTGCATCTGGCCCACAGTGGGCGGGTTCACTGGCCTGATCTCAATGGGCACGTCCAGGGCAGCAATTCGGTTCAGCCCCACTCGGTAATTCTCTCCAAGGTTAGGGTCCCTGAAAGTAAAGGGAAGAGAGCCAAGAAGATGCTAGGACAGGAAGAGTTTCTCGTCTGTGTGCCCCTTCCAAGCCCCCTTATTCTTCCACAAGTACTTCTGACTGACCCCCAAAACTGATCCCTATGTGGCATGCACTTCAGCCATGTGGCCTTGTGAAAGTTAATCATCTCTGAGCTTATTGCCATCCGCAAAATGCGCATAATGGTAACCTATGTCACAGCAGAGCTGGAAAAAGACACACCATCCACATAGCTGTGTACAGTGTCACTCCTCACAGCCTCCTGAGACCGGTACTGAGAACCGCCCTGTTTGATAAAGGAAGCATGCAGAATCCAGGCAGCTTGCTCAGAAGATGGAGAAGGCAGGATGTGAGTGAGCTCAGGCAGTCTGGGTCCCACACTTCATATACTTAACGACTTCATTACTCGAATAGGCTGCCTGATTTGCCTAGCCCTAAGTAGGAGTATGTCCACAGGGGAGCCTTTTCAACTGGGAAACAGCGGCCCTGGGGTGCTATCCACAGTGGCTTGAAAGGTCACAATGTAACCAAGGAACATACTCAATTTCATTTAAATTAATATAGCCACATGTGGCCAGTGGATACCTTACTTCACACTACAGCTCTAAATTTTAAATTTAACACTGTTTTTCAGACATTGTTTTCTTCATAACCATTTGTTGTGTTCCAGTCACATACCAGGCTTTCCATGCTTACTCTTCTCTATTAGTGCTATAACTGCAATTTACAGAGCATCCACTGAAGGCCTTACGCCTCTTATTTAATTCTCCCAAGAGCCTTTGTTGTTGTTTTCTTTTTCGTTGTTTTGTTTTTGGTGGTATATGGGTTTGGGTTTGAACTCAGGATCTCATACTTGCTCAGTTTGCTCACTTGGGGGACCGGGAAAGTAGCTGTTTACCAAATGATTACATAAGTAGTCCAGTGTTTTAACAACCAGTGTAGCAGGGCACTGGTGGCTCACACCTGTAGGCCTAGCCACTCAAAAGGCTAAGATCTGAGGATCTCAGTTTGTAAGCCAGCCCCTACAGGAAAGTCTATGAGATTCTTATCTCCAATTAGCCACCAGAAAACCAGAAGTGGGGCTATAGCTCAAAGTGGTAGAGCACTAGCCTTGAGAAAAAAAAAAAAAAAGAGGACTGGGAAGTTGGCTCAGTGGTAGAGCGCTTTCCTTGCATGCATGAGGCCCTGGGTTCCATTCCTCAGCACCACATAAGAAAGAAGAAAAAAGCCGGAAGTGGCACTGTGGCTCAAGTGGTAGAGCGCTAGCCTTGAGCTGAAGAGCTGAGGGACAGTGCCCAGGCCCAGAGTTCAGGCCCCACGACCAGACCCCCCCCCCAAAAAAAAAGAGCTCAGGGACAGCCCCAGAACCTAAGTTCAAGTCCCACAACCAACAAGAAAACAAAATAAAACAAAAAACAGTGTGCTTGTACTGGCTAAATTTAAGCTGCATTTTTTTTTTGGGGTCCAGTTGTGGGCCTGAACTCTGGGTGTGGGCGCTGTCCCTCAG